AGGTTGGGTTGTTGGGTAGTTGGGCTTTAGGCTTGGGTTTTGGGTTTGAGGCTTTAAACTTTGCATTTCACCCCTTCAACTTTTCATTTCTTCAATTAAGTCCCTCATTTTAAACTCCTTCATCTCCCTTTTCCAATCCTCTTTTGTTCGTAAGCCTAACAAGGAAAATAAAGACAAAGCATATTAGTTAAAATAAAAATAAGACTAAAAATAACATTAAAATTAAAATTCTATTAAAAATTTGAATTATGACAGTTGCTCCTCTTTTCTTTTCTTTTTGCTAAGAATGAAAAAAATAAAGACAAGAATAACTCAAATTTGCCACTCTCTTTCTTTTTCTTTTTCTCCTTTAAAAAAAAAAAAAAAATTAAACAGTTAAAGTAAAACGCATCGAATGACTGAACAGGTAAAATAAAACGATTAAGAAACTGTAACAGTCGTTTGACCGAACAAGTAAAGTAAAAACGGTTAAGAAACTGCAACGGTCAAATGACTGAAAAAGTAAAATAACAACGGTTAAGAAATTGCAACGGTCGAATGACCGAACAAGTAAAGTAAAAACGGTTAAGAAACCACAACGGTCAAATGACCGAACAATAAAGTAAAAACGGTTATGAAACCGCAACGGTCGAATGACCGAACAAGTAAAGTAAAAACGGTTATGAAACCGCAACGGTCGAATGACCGAACAAGTAAAGTAAAAACGGCTAAGAAACCACAACGGTCGAATGACCGAAGAAGTTGATCTTAAGTGAGTTGATCTTAAATGATTTGATTTTCAATGAGTTGATCTTAAGTGAGTTGATCTTAAATGATTTTATCTTAAATGAGTTGATTTTAGACGACTTGCAATGATCAAACGACCAAGCAAGTTGGGTAGCTACGGTCAAACGACCGAGTCAATTGAGTAGCTACGGTCAAACAACCGAGCCAATAGAGTATGAGTATGGTCGAATGACCGCAAGGAGTGGAGTATGAGTATGGTCGAATGACCGAAAAAGTAGAGTATGAGTATGGTCAAATGACAGAGAAAGCAAAGTATCATTATGGTCGAGTGACCCAAAAAAGTAGAGTATGAGTATGGTCGAATGACCGAGACAGTAGAGTATCAGTATGGTCGAGTGACCCGACAAAGTAGAGTATGAGTATGGTCGAATGACCAAGAAAGTAGAGTATGAGTAGAAACGGTTTTATAACCGAGTAAGTTGAGTTGCAACGATCAAACGATCGAGCAGGTTGAGTAGCCACGGTCAAACGACCGAGCAAGTTTGAGTGGAAACGGTTTTATAACCGACCAAATTGGGTAGAGTATCAGTATGGTCGAATGACCGAAAAAGTAGAGTATCAGTATGGTTGAGTGACCGAAAAAAGTAGAGTATGAGTATGGTCGAATGACTGAAAAAGTAGAGTATTAGTATGGTCGAATGACCGGAAGAAGCAGAGTATCAGTATGGGGGCCTAATGAGTGTAAATGCAACCAAAAGACTAGATGAAAGTAATGATTAAAAGATCTGCAACCATGAAACGTATGCAAGTGAGACAATGTTCATATGTAAGATAAGGTAGGGTGAAGAGAGGTTAAGAAACTTCCCTGAACATATTGGATGTCCATATTTGACGAGAGTCCGGTGTCCTTCATGTTGAACATTTATCAATAGGCTCGATGACATGCTTTGCATAAAGTTCAGTGACTTGAGAGCATCTCTAGTTCACTGGGGAAAATTCTCGAATCATTGCAAGAGAGGGTAAGCACCATGACCATTGAATCAAGCTTTTGCTTTTCTCTGTAACTCTCATCTCATTTTCAGATTTGTCAAGAGATTTCAGTTAAATAAAGCAATTATATTAACTGAAATAAAGCATCATAACCAATCAGCCTCCCAATCTAAACAAGGAAAAGAAGGCCAGGGCATGGATAACACACTACTAGAAAAATGGCGTATACGGACCGACCATATACGGACCGAATAGTGTCGGTCTGAAAAAATATATATTCGAACCAATATCGGTCTGAATATATTCAGGTTGGGCAAAATATACTAATGAACATATTCGGACCGGTATCGGTTCGTATATTTCTGGCGGGGATCCACAGTGTAGACGTGCCAATAATATTCGAACCGTTATCGGTCCGAATATTTTTCTGAAAAAAATAAATATTAAATACCAAAAAATATGAATAAAATATTTCTGGCGGGAGTGTATAGTGTAGATGCGCCAATAATATTCGGACCGTTATCGGTCTGAATATTTTTCTGAAAAAAAAAATATTAAATACCAAAAAATATGAATAAAATATTTCTAGCGGGAATATACGGTGTAGACGGGCCAATAATATTCGGACCGTTATCGGTCCGAATATGTTTCTGAAAAAAATAAATATTAAATACCAAAAAAATATGAGTAAAATATTTCTGGCGGGAATCCACGTGTAAACGCACCAATAATATTCGGACCGTTTTCGGTCTGAATATGATTTCTGAAAAAAATAAATATTAAATACCAAAAAAATATTAATAAAATATTATTTAAATACATATATACGGACCGATCCCGGTCGAAAAATTTGA